GTTCATTAGGAAATTGAAACTTGACTATACGAGTTCTACAATCAATAGAAGCATAATATGCATGCAACCAATCCATCCCAAGAATAACATCAAAATCCACCATGTTCAACTCAACAAGATCGCAAGGCAACAACTTATTCAATATGCAAACCGGACAATTTCTATACACTTTTCTAGCAACAATAGAGACACCAATGGGAGTAGATACTTCATATGACTCATGCAACAATTCCGACTTGACATGAAATTTTCTAGCAACTAAGGGGGTAACAAAGGAAAGGGTGGCACCCGGATCAATCAAAGTATAAACATCAAGATCAAAGATTTGCAACATACCGGTCACCACATTCGGGGTCTCATTAACACCTTGTCTACCATGCAAAGCATAATTTGTGTGCTAGGAGATATGACCCTCCAAAGTAGACCCTCGAAAAAGGCTTCACTTGGAAATTTTGGATTTTGATACGGTTGCTCTAAAATTTGGGTTAGACCCATTTCCCACTCAATTTGACCCCCTAAACAAGAATATGAAGTCAGATTTTCGAAAAACGAAACGGATTTTGAGATATATGGAAATTACAATTATAGGTGTTTCCGAAGCACATTTTCGGGCATTTTTGGGGTCGTTTCATCTTGACTGGCCATCATAGAGATAAATCTCTTGTCTACTCTTAAACTCGGGATACTCTAAGGTAGATAGACAAAAGGAGATATAAAGCTTGATCTTCCATTAAAATGAGTTGATTTGTGTTTAGGAGTGACGCCCGAAAGAACACCTAGCTTGGTTACAAAACATTATGAAATATAAATGATCATCAATTAGGACTACCTATCCCCGCTCAACGATGTAGTTAAACAACTAATTGGAGTAGGCGATTAGAGGTCGGGAGACCATGATCATATAATCAACACTGTAAATCAGTGGCTTGATAACCTAAATTAGTTCATTACTTAAGATACGATACATGAGATCCAAAGCATGCTGAACCCTGGAATTGTCTCTTACTTGTTTAAAACCTCACATTGAAGTGGTTCGCATTACTTACTTTATTTATTGAATTAGTCTTAGTAGGAGTAAACAACATTCACACTCTTTTAAAACTACTCTTGTCGAATTGTGGAATTAAGTTAGTGAATATAAATTGATCATAAGTTCCTTGGGTACGATAACTCATTCTAAAAGGAACAATATTACTAGTGCGACCACGTACACTTGCGTGTGCAATTGGGAGCAACAAGTTTTTGGCGCAGCTGCCGGAGACTTAGGAATTAATTTACATTTAATTTTCTTAAGTCTACAATTAGACTATTCAAGTGTTAACAACTTGATATTAGCTCTTTTGTATTGCACTCACTTGGTTCTTAAGCTTGACTCGAAAATGATATCTTGTTGACCCAGACGACAAACCTGAAAGAGATTTTTGACTACGAAGAAAGCTGGCGAATCTAGGACGCCAACAAGAATTGGGAATGGGTCTCCCAGAAAATATTGAGGGTGACCACGTGGAAAACATGAATAACGAAGGACAAGAGGTATCCCCAATTATACCGGAAAGGCCAATCAGTGATGTGGCAGTCCCACTCATAGCCACTGTGGCATCAAGTATACGGAAACCACCAACGAGTGGCAGATTTGAGCTGAAACAAAACATGGTGCAACTCATCCACTCCATGGGGCAATTCGCCTGTCTCCCTCACGAGGATCCCCAAGTGCATATAAGGAACTTTCTGGAGATAAGAGATACATATATTACGAATAGGGTCTCATCGGATTATGTGAGGTTGCCTCTTTTCCCACTCTCATTATTGGGAGCAGCCATGCAGTGGTTAGATACAGAGCCACCAAAATCCATCACTATATGGGATTATTTAGCAAAGAGGTTCTTGAGTCGATTCTTTCCATGAGGCAAAACTGTGAGGTTGATGAGTGAAATACTAAGCTTCAAGCATAAAAGTGGAGAAGATATGTATCAAACATGGGCTCGATTTAAACAAATGTTAAACACTTGTCCACATCACTACCAAGCAAATGAGGTATTTGCTCACAGTTTCTTTGATGGTTTTGATTATAATGCACGAGTACTTCTTAATAGTGCAATAGGTGGGAAAGCTTTAGAAATGACCCATGAGGAGCTATTTTACCTCCTAGACAGACTCTCAGAGGGAAACCCGAGTGGAATAGGGAGATGCCAAGGACAACGACACAAAGGGCTGTAGGAATTCTAGATGTGGATCAAGCTACCACTATAAATGCAAAATTAGATGCAATGAACCATAATATAACCATGAAGTTCAAGAAAATCGCACTAAATCAACAAGCACCGGTGAATACTATACAACAATTTGTTATTTGGTGCGGAGTCTGTGGTAGTGGAGAACATGCAACTGAATATTGTGAAGCAAATCCGGACTCAGTGAACTATGTGGGGAATGCGCAAGGAGGTGGAGGTATGCTGAGTTATGGTAATACTTACAACTCTAGTTGGATGAACCATCCTAACTTCTCATGGGGTGAAAATCAAACCCAGAATCAAAATCAAGCACAAGGGGCTAACCAATACTGAGCACAAATAAATGGGCAGCAATATCAAACTAATAGCCAAGGTGGGAACCAAAGTGCGCAGAAAAGGGGTATGACTAATGAGGAGTTTTTCCAAAAGTGGATAGCAAAAATCGGTAAAAACAGTGCCGAGAATGCAAAAAATAATGCAAGGATAGATAGGTAGGATGAGAACTTGAGGAACATCCAAATGTCATAGTCTGGAAAAACAAGTTGCGTAAGTAGCTAATTCGCTCAACTTGTGTCCATATGGAGGTTTGTCGGGTGACACTGAGCCCAATCCGAAGCAGTTGAATGTGGTGAGCACCAGAAGTGGGCTACAACTAGAGGAGCTAGCTCCAAAGAGGAGAGATATTGAGGTAGTGAGTGGAGAAAATAATCAAGAAGAGGTAGTAAAGAACTCCAATGTTGAGAAGAGTGTTCCTCAAGTGAAACCACCTCCTTCTTTTCCACAAAATTTCAGAAAGCAGAACGAAGATGAATGTTTCAGTAAGTTTCTCTCTCTCCATAAACAGGTTCAATTAACCTGCCTTTGGTTGATATTTTTCAGGTAATTCCTAAGTATGTGAAGGATTAGTGGCAAACAAGAGAGGACTAACAGAGTGTGAAACAATAGCACTTATTGAGGAGTGCAGTTCTTGAATCTGATATAGACTATCCAAGAAGCTGAAGGATCTGGGTAGCTTCACTCTGCAAATTACAATTGGACAAAGTGTCCATGCCCGGGGTTTATGTGATTTGGGTTCTAGCATTAATCTCATGCCGTCATCTTTATACAAGAAACTTGGGTTGGGAAGTCCAAAACCAACAACTGTCATTCTACAACTGGCAGATAGATCTATTACAAGGCTAGAGGGGTAGTAGAAGATATGTTGGTGTAAGTGGGATCATTCATCTTTCCAGTGGAATTTGTAATCCTAAATTTTGAGCCTGATCCGGAAGTTCCATTTATTTTGGGGAGTCCTTACTTAGCCACAAGGTGAGCATTGATCGATGTAGCATCTGGGCAGTTAACCATAAAGGTGCATGATAAGGTTGAAGTGTTTGATGTCTATCGCGCTTTAAAATTACCGTCCATCTATGAAGAGTTGTCCGCCATCACTGTTGTGGATCTAGCTGTAGAATCACAGTGCATTACTTCCGAGGATCCCTTAGAAAGAGTTTTTGTGGTACATGAAATAGATGGAGATTATGAAGCTCAAGAGATGGCAACTTGTCTTAATTTTGCAGTAGTGGGAACGCAAATAAATATGGTGGAATCTTTGGATCACGCAGTGGGGCCTCCACTCAAATCCTCAATTGAAGAAGCACCTAAATTGGAGTTGAAATCTCTGCTTGCTCACCTTAGGTATGCGTATTTGGGTAACAATAGAACCTTACCTGTAATACTTTCTGCAGAATTGTCTGAAACACAGGTTGATGCGGCATTGAGAATCTTGAAGCGAATGAAGAGAGATATAAGGTGGTAGATAGCTGATATTCATGGGATTAGTCCAGCGTTATGTATGCACAAAATCTATATGGAGGAGGATCACAAGCCAAGTGCACAACATCAATGTAGGCTAAATCCCTTAACGAAAGAAGTAGTAGAAAAGAAGTGATCAAGTGGCTAAATGCTGGTATTATGTATCCAATTTCTGATAGTAAGTGGGTGAGTCTTGTGCAGAGTGTACCAAAGAAAGGTGGTATGACAGTAGTGTAGAACGATAAAAATGAGTTGATCCCCACCAAAATAGTCACCGGATGGAGAATTTGCATGGATTACCAGAAGTTAAATGAGGCCACGTGAAAAGATCATTATCCTATCCCTTTCATCGACCAAATGCTTGACCATCTGGCAGGGAAGGAGTACTTCTGCTTCCTAGATGGGTATTCCGAATATAATCAAATTTTGATTGCACCAGAAGATCAAGAGAAGACCACATTCACTTGTCCTTATGGTACATATGCTTTCAAACGCATACCATTTGGACTTTGCAATGCTTCGACAACCTTTCGATGATGCATGATGGCCATTTTTCATGATATGGTGGAGGACTTTGTAGAGTTACTTATGGATGATTTCGCGGTCTTTGGGAAGTCTTTTGAGGTATGTCTCCGAAACCTTGATAAAGTACTTTCTTGATGTGAAGATACAAATTTAATGCTCAACTGGGAGAAGTGTCACTGCTTAGTTCGAGAAGGCATAGTGTTGGCTCACAAAGTGTCAAAGCATGGACTAGAAGTGGATAAAGCCAAGGTGGAAGTGATTGAAAAATTAGCCCCTCCTATTTCTGGAAAAGGGGTGCAAAGTTTCCTGTGGCATGTAGGTTTTTACCAGATATTCATCAAGGATTTTTCCAAGATTGCAAGACCTATGAGCTGTCTCTTGGAGAAGGAGGTGAAATTTGAGTTTGATGATGTGTGTGTGAAAGCATTTGAGGCGCTGAAGTGGAACTTAATTGAAGCTCCAATCTTGATTGCTCCTAACTAGGAGTTACCATTTGAACTCATGTGTGATGCAAGTGATGTAGCAGTGGGTGCAGTATTGGGAAAAAGAAAAGATAAAGTGTTCCATTCAATATACTACGCGAGTAAGACCCTTGATTCTGCTCAACCTAACTACATAGTGACTGAGAAGGAGATGCTGGCTCTAGTATTCATCTTCGACAAGTTCAGATCGTATTTGGTATGTACCAAGGTAATTGTTTATATTGACCATGTAACTATTAGGTACTATTAAAAAAGAAGGATGCCAAACCAAGGCTAATTCGGTGGATATTACTTCTCCAAGAATTTGAACTTGAGATTAATGACTTGAAAGGTACTGAGAATAAAATAGCTGATCATTTATCCAGGTTAGAAGATTTTTCCCATGTAGGGGGAACAAATACATGAAGAGTTTCCAGATGAGAAATTGATGACATTAGATACCTCTCAAGTACCCTAGTATGCTGATATAGTGAATCTGTTTGTGAGTGGAGTGTACCCTCCAGGTGGAACTACCCAACATAAGAAGAAGCTGACTCATGATGCTAAATTCTACATCTGGGAAGAACCATTCTTGTTCAAACAAAGATTGGATTGAGTGGTGAGAAGATGCATTTCGGAATATGAGGTCAAGCAAGTGCTTGCGAGTTGTCATGTGAGTCCTTATGGAGGGCACCAGGGAGGATAGCGCATGAAGTACAAGGTACTACAATCTGGTTTCTTTTGGCCCTTCTTGTTTAACGATTCTATTGCCTACGTAAAGGGATATGATCAATGCCAAAGATTGGGTACTATATCAAGAAGACATGAGATGCTGCTAAATACTATTCTTGAGGTGTAGATCTTTGATGTGTAGGGTATTGACTTCATGGGTCTCTTCCCACCATCTAGTGGAAACCAATATATTCTGGTGGCCGTTGATTATGTGTCCAAATAGGTTGAGGTGGTAGCTCTTCCCAAGAATGACTCAAGAGTGGTGATTAAATTCATCAAGAAGCACATTTTCACACGCTTTGGTACTCCGAGAGCAATCATAAGTGATGGAGGTAAGAATTTCATTAACCATTTAGTGAAGAATCTTCTTGCTAAGTATGGTATCCACTATAAAGTTGCCACATCTTACCATCCTCAAACAAGTGGTCAAGTGGAAGTGTCGAATAGCAAGGTGAAGCAAATCTTGCAGAAGACAGTGAATGCGCACAGAAAAGATTGGTCTGAGAAACTTGATGATGTGTTATGGGCATATAGAACTGCATATAAAACACCCATAGGGACTTTTTCCTATCACATTGTGTTCGGCAAGGCATGTCATCTTTCAGCAGAATTATAGCACCAAGCATATTGGGCAATCAAAAAGTTGAATCTTGACCCAGAGTTGGCTGGTAGGAAGCGAATGGGTCAATTGCATGAACTTGAGAAGTTTAGGCTCCATGCATATGAGAATGCTGAGCTATACAAAGAGAAGACCAAAAGATGGCATGACAAGCATATAGTTCCTCGTACTTTCATTCCGGGCGAAAAAGTACTACTTTTTAACTCAAGACTTAAGTTATTCCCCAGAAAACTATGGTCCAAATGGAGTGGTACCTTCAAAGTGGTGAGGGCTATACAACATGGCGCTATAGAACTTAAAGGTAAAAATGCCCTGTCGTTCTTGGTGAATTGGCAAAGGGTGAAGCACTACTTCGGTGAAGATACAGATCGCAATCAAGAAGCTATTGAACTAAATGATGAATGATCCAAGCTGGGTCAAGCCACGACGTTAAACCAGACGCTCCACGGGAGGAAAACCGTGAAATATATGTAATAGGTAGTTAGATTTGCTTAATTTTTAAATTTAGCTTAGTTTACATTTTTAGGATTTAGTGAAGTTTTTTTAATTTTTTGTTCACTAATTTGGTAGGATGTTAGGTTAGTTTATTTTACTTGTAATAGTTAGGAAATATAAAGAAAAATACCAAAAGAGGAATCGTGCCACGAAAAAAACAAAGGCGTTGGGTGGGAGGCAACCCACCATTATTTTTTTTATGTAGTTTGGTTGATGCGCAATTTATCGAAGAATAGACCACAAGAAAAGAGAAAAAATACACTGGAAAATGGGTGAGAATTCCCTACCTTGGCCAGGCGCAGGTCAGGCGCGGCGCGCTAGGGGGTGAATTCTGCAACTCATTTTGGGCACATTGGCAGCGCGAGGTGCCCCCATCGCGCTAGCCCCAACTCCACAACGCAGATGTAGACGCAGCATAGGCGCGGCACGCCAGAGGGCATATAACTGCAACCCATTTTGGACGCACTAGAGGCGCAACTCCCCAACACCTAAATTTTCAATTTTTTTAGGGGACCCACTTCAAACTCCACCTTTATTATTCCACCTACCCAAATTCCCCTTAGTTTCTCCCACTATTTCTCTCTCTAACCTACCCCTCTCCTTCGATTTTCTCCAAATTCCAAAAAAAATCTTCATCTTCTCCACCCACATTCTTCCCCAAATCCCCCATTCCTCTATTAATTCTTCCTAAAACCTTAATATCTACCTTTTTCTCCACACCCAACCACTACAACCCCTAAAATTCTAAAGAAAAGACCAAACCTACTTACCCCACCCTCCACTTCCTACCCGACCCCCACCCACTTTCTTCCCCAATTTTTTTATTTTATTCAAAAGTTGAGGTAAGGATGGCTCCTTAGGGTAAAAATGTCGCAAGTGGCGCGGGTGCTAATCAGAGTAGAAAAGGAACGACTTCCGAAAGTTCAAGTCGGGAACCAACTGACTTGCCACATCAAAAATTTGGTAAGCAAGTGGTTATTCACTGTGGTGAGGAATGGTATAACTTTCAATAGGAAGCTAAGTACATAGGGGATGAATATGTTAATAGGGAGCGATTGGTAGCAGAATTTCCTCACATTCATGCTCAAGTCCTTGCTTTGGGACTTCAGTACATCTTCGTGGATCAAAGTGAGTGTAATTTAGGTATTGTGCGTGAATTTTATGCTAATTGGAATACACATCATGTAAGGTGGAACCAATGTCTTATTCATAACAATGGTGTGCAATTTTTGATAGAAGCGTTGAATGAATTTTTGGGTTCCCCTAATTGTGACCACTATGAGTTTCTAGCCATGATAGAACGACCCCCTTATCAAAATATTTGGCATACTTTGTGTAGGATGAACTCTGTTTCTAGGTGGGATAGAGTTAGAGATACGGGTCGACATTCGACACTTCATTATGCCCATTTGAACCTAGAGGCGCGAGTATGGTTGAAAATTATGTCTAGTATCCTATTGCCATGCAAATATACGACTTAGGTTCACTAGGGAAAGAGTTGTTTTACTCTACCAACTTATGAAGGGGATGCCAGTTAATGCAAGGCCTATTTTGAGGCAGAATATGCTCAAGTTTTGGACAAATAAACAGTGGCGTTTTTGCTATGGCAGCCTACTCACTAGGTATCTCCGGGCATTGGAAATTGAGAAAGAAATTCATGATGTGTGTCCTCCCCGTGCCCCTCACTTGGTGTGCCACTTGGTTGATTTCACAAATACTAAGCGCATGATTAGTCTCAAGGGCAAGTGTTGTCTATCGCTGATAGGCAAGCCTGGGATGATAGCTATATGAGGCGCATGTATGGGATGGCTGAGTTGCAACTGCGGATTGGTAGCTATTCAGTCACAGAGGACGAATTGGAGACATTGGCGGAGCGTTACCCGTTGACGAATAGCGCGATGTACATGTGTTGGATTGGCCCGGTATTCCAAGAACCCATTGATGATTATGATGCACTACTGATGAAGAGGATGGACTGGAGGAGGATGAGTCAAATGATATTGGCCCCAGAGATGATAATACTGATACGGGTGATGGTGATGGTGAAACAACATCGATCACTGTGGATTTTGCCACGAATGTGGCAACTTGTTGATTTGAGCACGTGGCTTAGAGGCTGACATGGAGTTTTCTTTCACTCTTCACTTTTTTTTGCTTTACACATTGAGGACAATGATTTATTAAAGTGTTGGGTGACAGTTGAACTTCATTGTATAGAGTTTATTGCTTTATCGAGTCTTTTTCTCTTTATAGGAGGGATCCTCAACTTTTGTTTTCAGTACTTTTCCTGAGGATAGTCCCATTGAACTGACTAGGAATAGTTAGCTTATTATTGTTGAGACTTAGAGTCATCATAGGAGTGACAATTCTCAATGATGGATGAATGACGACCATCTTAAGGGAAAATTAGTCACTAGGAGTGGAGGAGGATGAAACCGACCTTTTTTGGTTACTTTGAAACCTTGTCTTAATAGTTGTCCAAACGTCATGGGTGGTATCAATTTTAATTGCAATGATTAAGATGGGAACTATGAAACAAACATAAGCTCTTTGTTTTGACTCTAAATGAAAAATAAATAAACATGGGCTTAATTGTGTGGAAACACCGTAATGCAATTTGTAAGAACATGGTACAAGTGAATGTTGCCTTATATGTGTTGTGATGCCATGTGTGGTGAGTACTTGCTTAGTTTTCGCATTGAATAACATCTAGAACTTGCCCCAAGTGTTCCTAATGAGTAACTTGTGTAATTTATGGAATATGATTGAGGCATTTCTTTGAATAGCCAAGTTTAAATCCGTTTGTGTGCCTCCAAAGAAAAAATAATCCCTAGTATTGCCCCATTGAGCCTTTTAGCCTTGATTTTTTTTTCTAACCCACTTAATTGAGCCGAATCCATTTTATTGATACCATTAGTTTTTTATCCCAAAGTAATCCTTGATGCACCATTTAAGAGGAAAAGGTGAAAACAATGGTGAAAGTAGATAGGGTGGAAATACTTGGTTTTGTGGCAAATGAAAAATAAAAGGTAGAAGAATAATGCGCTATGAGTAGTTCCTAAATTTGTGATTGGCCCGAGTCCATCCTTGGACATTGTGCACTTCGACTAAGGTGAAAAACCTAAGTTAGGGTGGCCAATTCAGATGTTACCTTCATAATGGCCCTGGTCCTTCCAAGGATAATTTGCACCTCAACTCGGGCAAAATACTAAGTTGAGGACGACTATTGTTAAAGTGTGAAAAAAATAAGAAGCTATTGTAGAAATAAGGGCTTAAGTGAGAGAAAGGGAAAAGTTTGAAGTCCAACTGGGAAAATATGCATAAAGAGGACCAAAGGGAAAGAAAAAGTGATGGATGTTAGCAAGAAAATCAAAACATATGCATTAGGAAGGATGAGTCACTAATTTTAACCAAATGTATCCTCCATTACCTAAAACCAACATTACAACCAAATGCAAGTCCTCTTGATTCTATGAGTAACACTTTGTGAAAATTAAAGTACACGAAGGGCAAGTTTATGGCATGTTAGGATATGTGGAAACTTCTTTTGTGAGTGTGAGAGTGAATGTTGAAAATGAACCTTATGTTGAAATACAATAATATTTATGCAAGAGAAATGCTATACTTAAAATGGTGAGGGCATTCATGACACATGTTTGGTTCCTACTCTTGTTTGGTGTGTTTCTATTAAGTTGCATTAGTCCCTAATTATTAAAGAAGAGTCATTCATTGAGGTTGTGAATTATTGATTGGTAGACTATCATGATGAACTAAAATTGTGAATTATTGCATAAAGTGTGTACCACAAAATCATGATTAAAGATGTTTTGCCAATTGTAAAGCGAGGTGATGAGTCCAAAGGGTAAGAGTGTGAGTTGATAATGTAGAGTTTGTTCGAGGACTAACAAATGTTTAAGTGTGGGGTGGTGATATTGGGCATATTTATATGCCTAATTATTATGAATTACCCATCTTTAACGTGAGTTTAAGGACATTTACTAATATAATTTACACATTTTGACTTAGGATAGTGATGATTGCATACTTATATACATGATTAGCTATTTTACAGGGATCTTAAAAGAAGTGATTGAGAAAGAGAACAAAGAAAGAAAAGGGCGACAAACCGACACTAGGGAGAAACTTGGAGCGGTGCCTTAGCCTCATTGGCGCGATAGAGACATGACACGCCAAACTAAGATTGACTGGGGACTCTTTTTAGCGCACTGGCAGCGCGATGCGCCAGCCTGCCAGGCGCAATTCTGGTGTGCTGCCCCAAGGCCTGACCAACGTTTTTGGCGAAAATTAGTTTTATTAGGATTCATTCTTACACTAGAATCATAAATTATTTTCCTAAACTCTATAAATAGGACCCTAGGGTTATTTTGTAGGGGTTTGACTTCTTTTTGGTGTGCAAGAGCAATGATTAATATATTGTAATAGGTTTCAATTCTCTAACTCTTTCATTATGTTGAAAATCGCATGAAAAATATTATTTTGCGGTTTTTGAATATTATGAGTGGCTAAACATCCTTGTTCTGGGCTGTAGTTACATATGTTTGTTAAGTGTCAATGGTTTTGAATTAATTCATGGTTACCACTTTTAATTTACTTCTATGTTCTTATATTAGTATTTCTTGACTGGCCATCATAGAGATACATCTCTTGTCTCTTCTTAAACTCAGGAGATGCTAAGGTAGATAGACCAAAGGAGATAGAAAGTTGATAATCAATTAAATTGAGTTGATTTGTGTTTAGGAGTGACGGCCGGACGAACACCTAGCTTTGTTACAAAACATGATGAAATATAAATGCTCACCAATTAGGACTGCCTATCCCCGCTCAACGATGCAATTAGACATCTAATTGAAGTAGACAATTAGAGGTCGGGAGACCATGATCATATAATC